TGATAAAGACTATGTTAAACGGCACCTCGGGAACACCACATCCTAGTTCCCATTGATCCATGAAACCCACTAATGCAGTATTTCTCAACCTTCCTAATGCCACGACTCCTTAATACAGTTCCTCATGTTGTGGTGACACCCAACCATAACATTATTTTCATTGCGACTTCACAACTGTCATTTTGCTTCTGTTATGAATCATCATGTAAATATCTGATATTTAGGATGTGTTTCCATTCACTGGACCAAATTTGGCACAAATACGCATGAATTTGAATACTAGTGGGATTAGGGGGGATTGATTTTGTCATTTGGGAGTTGTAGTTGCTGGGATTGATAGTTCATCTACAATCGAAGAGCATTCTGAACCTCCCTAACGATTGAATTGAATCAAATTTGGCACACAGAACTCCCATGAGCAACAGAAAATACTGGAAGGGTTTGGTGGGCATTGACCTTGAGTTTTGGAGTTGTAGTTCACTTACATCCAGAGAGTACTGTGGACTCAAACAATGATGGATCTGAACCAAGCTTGGCTCAAATACTCAATATTCCCAACTGTGAACACTGGTGGAGTTGGGGAAAAATAGACCTTGACATTTGGGAGTTGCTGGGATTTATAGTTGACCTACAATTAGAGAGCATTCTAAACCTCACCAACAATAGAATTGGGCTAAACTTCCCACACGGAACCCCCATGCCTTGAAGTGACTCTCTGGCGTGAGCCTCTCTCCAGCCTTGCATGCTCTCCCTCACCCCACACATGCGCAGTAAGCTGCCATGCGCCAAGCACGCCTGCTCTCCCCTCCTCGCTTGGAGTCTCAGAAACAGCTCTCTCCTTGGCTGAGAGGCCGGCCAATCACAGCGGAGGAGGGCTTTTGGTGGTAGGATTCGCCATCTGTTTCCAAAAAGGAAGAGAAGGACAGGCTGAGAAATCTTCAGCCTTCTCTGCCAAAAAGGTTCCTAAGACCATCAGAAAAATATGTTTTCTGATGGTCTTTGGCGCCCCCTCTGAAACTCCCTTGAGACCCCCACAGGGGTCTCGACTCCCAGGTTGAGAAATGCTGGGCTAATGGCATTTGGTGAATTACGTTTTCTTGGACTGGTCTGAACCCCAAGATTATTTTTCTCACAATAAACTCTAAGCACACTGAACAAGGTAGGAGGGGTATAGCTAATTCTCTGTTAAAGCAGACCCCCCCACCCACCCCAGCAATTGTGCTTACCTTGCCAAGTGGTGTCCCTTTGCTGGGAAGTCTGCCTGATGTCCGATGGAGCCTCCCCTGCAGCAAGAAAAGGTTCAACTTCCCCATAGAGATTTTCCACCTGAAATAGCAATGATGATTCAAGGTGTAAAAAAGCAGGGGAATTGCAGACTAGAATCAATCAGGGCCAGCTAACACCTCCCAATAAAGGATTCCCCCAGGCAGCAACCAGCCAGATTTTGAAGCTGCAAGGGCATTAAATGCTGATTAAGGTGGCAATTTGCAACATTCACACTTGCCTCAAGTAGACAAGAGTTCTTTCTCCAACCCTGGACATTCCACAGATATATAAACCTCACTTCCCTAGTTTCCAACAAACCCCTCAACTCCTGAGGTTGCCTGCTATAGTCGCGGGTGAAAAGTCAGGAGAGAATGCTTCTGGAACATGGCCAGACAGCCTGGAAAACTCACAGCAACCCAGTGATTCTGGCCA